CCAGCGGCGGGAGGGGGACCATCGAGGCCGTGGCCCGGAGGGCCTCGGCGGAAGGGGCCACCAGCGCGACACCGGCGCACGCCGCCGCCGCCAGCAGGACCAGGAGGCGTTTTCGCCTCTGTGGGGAAACCGCCATGTCGAATGTGTGTGTGTGTGTGTGGTTTGGGGGACGAAGCGGCGCGGCTTCGGGGAAAGCGATGCGATGCGATGCACACCGGATCTGGCTCGGTTTGTTGGATCTGGGCTCGCTTTGGATCGATTCGATGTTCGATTCGATGTTCGATTCGATCGGCTGTGGATTGGTCCGGTCTGTACAGTACCGTGTGCTCGGAACAGATCCTATCGATCGGGTTCTGCTTGGTTTGTTCGCGAGAATAGCGTTGCGGGAAAGGGCAGCGTGGTTCGTATCGTACGTGCTCGTATTGCGCAGGCGGTGATGGACCCAATGCCGTCCGGGAGGGCATACGGTACGGTAGACAATACGACAGAGCTTCGGATTGCGTGTCAAGCAGGAACATCTTCTGGGCTTCCATCGCAACCAAATCCGGAGCAGCTCGATCGGCACCGGCCACCGACGAGACGAGAGGTATGTACCTTGTATCGTACGTGCGAGTACTGTTCAAATGCTACGGCATCTGGTACGGTACATACGGGTAGTGGGGGCAGGTTTGTTTGATCGTTTCGTGATTTCGTGGCAAATCTTTGCCCATAAATCAATCCGTCGAGTTTGCTCCGGTGTGTGTCCTTCCTTCGCTCGGCTACTTTTTAACAAATTGTTGCGTGGGAGAATCACCCAACCACTGTTTGATAAACATATATTGCGAAGGACGGACACACGGCATAGGTGGAAAACTCCTCCGGTTCGTCGTCGCATCGATCTTCCTTCAACAACGGCTCCAAGATCAGGATTTTTGGTGAGGGTGCGGTTCTGCCTCGTGCGCTGGTCCGTTCGCACACAACGCAACGTCGGCCTTCTCTTGTTGACACCTGGTTGACATCCAGAGCAAGCAAGAGATACCGTACATACTACGAGGGTATTCATCGTATGAGTTATACGTATGCTGTAGTACGTACTGTATCGTACATTAGAATGTTTGGTTTTGATTTTTGATGCCGAATGCGAAAGTAATAATTTTCCCGAGGCCCCTTTTCGAAATCGAAACCCCGCAACATCATCCCTTTTCCTTTTTTCCTGTTTCATGACACGAAATAACCGAAAACAAAACAATCGCAACAATCACACACCGTGTTCTCGGAGCCACTAGGGATCGGGGGCAGCACCCACCGCATTCCACCGCATTCCATTCCATAGCATTCCATTGCATTGCACCGAACCGATTCGAAACCAGCCACAGCCCACGGCACAACGCACAAACGCAGAACGCACGCCACGCTACGCCACGCCACGCCATGGGAAAAATGGGCCGCTTGTCCGCCGGAAGGGTGGCCTCCAAGGGCCTCGAGGCCGGCCTGCACCAGCGGGAGGTCGAGGCCGCCCGCACAGAGGCCCTGGGAGAGGCCCGGAGGAGGGCGTTTGCCCTGGAGGGGCACGAGGAGCGCCTCCGCCGCGAGGGAGCCGTCCGGCCCCGGTTCGGGGGCTCCTTCCGCAAGAGCCTGGCCNATCTCCTCGATGGCTTCCTCGATGGCTTCCTCCGCGATCTCCTCCTCGATTTCTTCCGCCATCTCCTCTATGGCTTCCTCGGTTTCCTCCGCAATCTCCTCGTCGATCTCGGCTTCCGCTGGTTCGTCGTTGTCAATGTCGTTGTCATTGGTTTCGTCGCTGGCCACCGCCTTGGGTTTTGCTCGGCTCGGTCCGTCGGTCCCGCCGCTGCTCCCGCCCCGGGGCACTRCCAGCGGCGGGAGGGGGACCATCGAGGCCGTGGCCCGGAGGGCCTCGGCGGAAGGGGCCACCAGCGCGACACCGGCGCACGCCGCCGCCGCCAGCAGGACCAGGAGGCGTTTTCGCCTCTGTGGGGAAACCGCCATGTCGAATGTGTGTGTGTGTGACGAAGCGGCGCGGCTTCGGGGAAAGCGATGCGATGCGATGCACACCGGATCTGGCTCGGTTTGGATCGATTCGATGTTCGATTCGATTCGATCGGGTGTGGATTGGTCCGGTCTGTACAGTACCGTGTGCTCGGAACAGTTCCTATCGATCGGGTTCTGCTTGGTTTGTTCGCGAGAATAGCGTTGCGGGAAAGGGCAGCGTGGTTCGTACGTGCTCGTATTGCGCAGGCTGTGATGGACCCAATGCCGTCCGGGAGGGCATACGGTACGGTAGACAATACGACGGAGCTTCGAATTGCGTGTCAAGCAGGAACATCTTCTGGGCTTCCATCGCAACCAAATCCGGAACAGCTCGATCGGCACCGGCCGCCGACGAGACGAGACGAGACGAGAGGTATGTACCTTGTATCGTACGTACGAGTACTGTTCAAATGCTACGGCATCTGGTACGGTACATACGGTACATACGGGTAGTGGGGGCAGATTTGTTTGATCGTTTCGTGATTTCGTGGCAAATCTTTGCCCATAAATCAATCCGTCGAGTTTGCTCCGGTGTGTGTCCTTCCTTCGTTCGGCTACTTTTTAACCAATTGTTCCGTGGGAGAAGCACCCAACCACTGTTTGATAAACATATATTGCGAAGGACGGACATACGGCATAGGGGGAAAACACCTCCGGTTCGTCGTCGCATCGATCTTCCTTCAACAACGGCTCCAAGATCAGGATTTTTGGTGAGGGTTCGGTTCTGCCTCGTGCGCTGGTCCGTTCGCACACAACGTCGGCCTTCTCTTGTTGACACACCTGGTTGGCATCCGGAGCAAGCAAGAGATACCGTACGTACATACGAGGGTATTCATCGTATGAGTTATACGTATGCTGTAGTACGTACTGTATCGTACATTAGAATGTTTGGTTTTGATTTTTGATGCCGAATGCGAAAGCAATAATTTTCCCGAGGCCCCTTTTCGAAATCGAAACCCCGCAATATCATCCCTTTTCCTTTTTTCCTTTTTCCTTTTGCATCACATTAACACGAAATAACCGAAAACAAAACAATCGCAACAATCACACACCGGTGCCTCGGAGCCACTAGGGATCGGGGGCAGCACCCACCGCATTCCATATCATTCCATTGCATTGCACCGAACCGATTCGAAACCAGCCACAGCCCACGGCACAACGCACAACGCACGCCACGCCACGCCACGCCACGCCATGGGAAAAAAGGGCCGCTTGTCCGCCGGAAGGGTGGCCTCCAAGGGCCTCGAGGCCGGCCTGCACCAGCGGGAGGTCGAGGCCGCCCGCACAAGGGCCCTGGAAGAGGCCCGGAGGAGGGCGTTTGCCCTGGAGGGGCACGAGGAGCGCCTCCGCCGCGAGGGAGCCGTCCGGCCCCGGTTCGGGGGCTCCTTCCGCAAGAGCCTGGCCCGGGTGCTGGGGGAGCGCAGGGCCGAGGAGTCCTTCGACCGGAGGGAGCGGCGGCGGCGGAACGGCTTTCTGCTCCCGCTCGAAGGACCGCTTCCGGTGCGGTCCGGCCACCTTGCGTCCCAAAAGGGTTCCCCAGGGGTGGGCGTGGGAATGGAAAGGCCCGTCCACCCCGAGGGATGGCTGCTCCGGTACCCGAGCGGGCCCGCGGACGCCGCTTCTGCGGCTTGCGCGGATCCGGCTTTGGTGCAGAGGCTCGGGGACCTCTCGCTCGCCGTCCTTGCCCGCTGCCTCCGCGAGTACAGGGACGCCATGGGGAGCGGCAAGCTGTACGGGGTCCTCTCGGTCCTTCCCCCGGAGTGCGCCACGGACCTGTCCGTCCTGCTCTCGGCGCCGCTCCCGGTCGCCGCTCCAGGGGCTCGTTCGGACCGGGCCCACCAAAGCCTTYCCTCACCGCGCTGGGACGACGACCTGGTGGCCCTCGTCGGGCAGCACCCGGACGCCGACAAGCTGTGTTTCCGCAACCAGCCGCAAAAGGGGAGGAACCGAACACGAAACGCGGTGACCGGTGCCGGCCTCCGGGCGCTGATCCCGCGGCCCCCCGCCGGGATGGCAAGCGGGGCTTTGGGTGGCCGCGGGGGGGAGGAAGACGACCGGGGCGGCCCGGGCTGCCGGGACTGGGACGACGACGATGAATGCGAATGCGACGACGACGAACACGACGACGATTACGACCAACACCCCGGTTTCTACACCGACCACAACGGCGGGGACGACGGATGGGATGGGCTCCCCAACCCGCGCGGGTGCAACCTCCGGCTCCGCCGGCTGGAGCTCCTCGACCTGAACGGCGACGATCACGAATGCGAATGCGAATGCGAATGCGAATGCGACGACTGCGAATGCGAATGCGAACACGAACACGAAACCACCCGGACGGAGTCGGTCCTGGCCCGCTGGTTCGAAAAGTGCTCGGGGATCACCCACCTCTCCCTGGCCGGGTCCTTTGTCCAGCACCCCTCGACCGGGAGGGCCGTCGTCCTCTCCCTCCCGAAAAAGCTGGCCTCCCTGGAGGTCCTGGACCTCACGGGGTGCCCGTGGGCCACCGACCGGTTGCTGGAAAGGGTGGTCGGGGGCTACCGTTCTTCCGCCGCCGCCGGAAGGGGCACCGAATCCTTCGAGCCGCCGGTCGTCTACTCTTCCCGCGGAAGGTTCGTGTGGGAGCCGGGGGCCGGAACCAGCGGGCGGGGGCCGGGGGACCCCTGGGCGGACGGGTAGGGACGGAAGCGAAAGACCGCGGGAGGGTTCTTGCAAAAAGGCCAATGGATTTAATTTGGTTTGGTTTGGTTCGGTTTGGTTTGGTTGGGTCGCCGCGAATGCGCTGCGCCGCGGGCAGCGGGTCGTTTGGCGTCTCCCGCGAGTGGTGCAATGCCTGCGGGCACCCCGGGTCGGGGCAAGAGCTAGAAAGAATGGTTTGTGGGTTTKGTTTTCTTTAATACAGTACATGATTTACTATTGCRAACAAATGGATCCGCACCAAAAACTCGAATGCCAAAAAACAAAACAACGCGATCGTCATTGCTGTAGTTGCAGTCGAATGGAAAGAACCGACCAACCGTGGCGGCGGGATCAAAGCATCCCGACGAGACCGATGTTTGGTTGYTTTCAATGATTTTTYCCCCCTTTGGAGTCTTGTTGGTTTCGCGACCTGGGTTGTTTCCGTTTGGGCAGTCCCCGTTCTGTTGTTGGTTCTGCTCGTCCTCCTGCCGTTRWGATTTTTGTGACGTCGTCGCCGCCGCCGCAATCCTCGTCTTCCGYTGCCCCGTGCGTTGTGTTTCGCGTTCGTCTATTTTCTACTCCGCCCGGCTCATGTCGAGCGTCAGGGCGGCGTAGACTATTTTCCAGCACAGCTCGGTCTCCCTCGTGAACTTTGGATCGACGTCCTTGAGGGCATCGATCAGGGCGACGCCCATGGGGGGGTAGAACTCCTTCTTGACGCCGAGTCCCGCGTGTTTCCGACCCAGGTCGAGCATGATGTCCGTCAGCATGTCGATGTCGGGGCCCAGCATGTCGATGGCCTTGTCGAACATGGACACGAACCGCGTGGCGTGCGGGAGRAAGGAGGGGCTCTGGACGCACTCGCTGATCCCGTTTCCCTCGTACCCAAAGACGGCCATGGCGTCCGGGCACAGCGTGAAAAACCTGGTGCGCGTGTGTGGGAGAGAAAAAGGGAGGCGGGGGTGAGTCGTGTTGTGCRCCGCACAGCGCTGCGGAAGCATGCGTTGCTGGTTTTGTGCCTCGATTTCGGACGGGGCAGCAACACAAACGCAACAGGGATCTACGCCAAATCTTACTTGATAAAAACCTGGATTCCCACCCGCTCTTTGTAGCCCTCTACTCGGCGAACGCGTTCCCAACAATCGTGCACTTCGCAGTAGGTGGAATAGTTGAGTTCGTTAACCATGATAATGTATTCTATGWGGGACGATCGTGTTTTTTGGCTTTGGGGTAATCAATTTCTTCTGGAAACGAAAGCGAGTATTCTGTCGAAATTTGTTGTGAGAGGAGCGGCAAGAACGCATTTTTCCGAGAGACGACGGGAAAAAAAAACTCCATCAAGCCTAGACTTCGAAGCCGTGGCGTAGAACRATGGCGGAAGCTTTCTTCGTTGTCAATTCCTATTTTTATTTAATCGTATTTCAACATGCATATGAAWGGTTTGATATGTAAGCTGTGCAGCTTAATTAATACTAACCATAAGTCTCATTTTCCTTCAAGAGATTCGAGGATGTCTTGTGACAAAAGACAGTTCCTCGGGCATAGGATTGAAAGTAGTCAATTAAAAAATCTGGTTTTCGATTGGTGCGCGTCGATACAGTACGTTGAACTTTCGAAGTGATCGAGCTTGAACTTGTAATTGAACAGAAGGGGGACGGTAAGGTGAAGGCTTAGTTGTKTTCTGGCTGAAACCAAATGGTTCGATTTTATGTCCCGATTCAAACGCTTTTGGTCTCAAGAAATAATGAGACACGAGAATCCCGCATCACCTGTCGACGCCTGGGCCAATATTTCGCATCGTGTGTTGCTGTGCTTTGCGCTCTTGGTACTACTAGCACCGGTACTAGTACTGCTACTAGTACTAGTATTAATCATTTTACTACTTCCCATTTACTATTACTACCATAGAGGCTGGAAAACAGCCATGAATTTTGTACTATGGTCTACCGGATTTTTAGGTTTTCTACCCCCTCAGACTCCCCTTTTCATCAACAATTTCAGTCGAGAAAAACTATTCTATTTTTTTTTCTTCTCGACTTCCATGATTGGACATCCAGAAGGACCCTCTGAATTTTGTTCACATGGGTAAAAACTTCATGCAAAACTACGGTGTAACGATTGGAAAGAGATGTCTGAAGGTGTGTAGGATTTGTGGAACAATAAAGGTTTTAAAAAAGGGGGACATCATTAACTCAATACTATTATTTTTTTGTTTAATGCCACGGCCAAACAGCATTTTTTGGTTTTTCTTTTCGTATGGGCCGGGCAGCACTACCTGTGTATCTTTTTGCTCCATATGCATTCAATGTTTTATTTTTCTTCCTTTCTTTTCCTAAGAATCTTCATTCCCTTAAAGCAATGCCCCAGCAAGGAATGAGATTCCAGCAATTTTTGTGATGGTGCTGGTAGCAGTCTCAACACCAGAGGCAGGTGTCCTCCTGATGTCGTTGTTGGTTACAACAATGCGGCAGCCAAAGCAATGGCTCCGGTGGTTCCAAGGGCCAGCAAGGGTCCTACACCATCGGACCGAGCAGCGATGGGAATCTGCAAGGAAAAGAGATCCTCTGCGTTCTCCTCTGAGGCCTGGAGATCACGGCGTAGGTGTGCCTTCTCTAGTACCACACTACCCATGCATTCAAACTGATTGYCGTTGCCCTCAATCAATCCTGTGGTGACAATGCTGGTGAATCTCTTGGCTTCGAGATCAAAGCTGGTCAGCAGGTCTACCTTGTCACCAACTCCATCAAAAAGTGGTTTCTCGAATGCACCATTCTTGCAGACGACGTTCTTGAAGCTACTGATGACGTCATCACCTTGAGTTTCCACACAGATGCTAAACTCTTGACCAACCTTGAAACTGGTGGTCTGACCTTTGCACAACGTTGCTGTGACGC